GCAACCTGTTCCAGTGTTTCATCACCTTCATTATAAAGAATTTCTTCCGTACATCTAGTCTAAATCTCCTCTCTTTTAGTTTAAAATCAGGACCTCTTGTCCTATCGCTACAGGCCCTGCTAGAAAGAAAACCAAAAACCCCCAAATCCCCTAACTTTATCTTATCATTTGAAGACTGTTCTTATCTGTTTTCTTAGTTTTCAATTTTGTCCTTTGAGGACATTTTGAATATCTCCATCTCTGTCCTGTTTCCTATGCTTAGATACCTGTTACTGCCTCCATTGTGGTCAGTCTCCAGCAAGCCAACAGTCGGCCAACACCCTTCTTGAAAGCTGATGCACATATCCAGCCACTGATGTGCAGCAGAGACCTCAGCACTCCTGGGACATGACTGTGGTCACACAGACATGTTGTAGGCGGGAGGACTCCCTGTTCCAGAAGTCTCAGGTTTGCTTTTTTCGCAATCCCCACGGGTTGTTGGGCCACAGCTTGTTGGGCTTTGATACTGATCCTCGGGTTCTTCCCGCCTGTGGGGAATCTGGCCAGTAATTCCAGGTTTGTATTTGTACAGTTGATCAATCACTTGATAGTTAATCCCAACAAACCTGTGTTTGTTGATAACATTTTGCACGTTATCTCCTAAGTGGCTACAAACAGACATATGGGCTTTTGTGCTCAGTGTTTGGGGTTTTTTTTTCCAGGAACTGAATTTAGACTGAATCCTCTAAAACTCATCAGAGTATTTTTCTTCCCACCTTCATTATTCCCTCCCTCGTTCCCTCTTCCTTCCTCTTTTCCTTCTTCTTTTCCTTCCTTCCTTCCTTCCTTCCTTCCTTCCTTCCTTCCTTCCTTCCTTCCTTCCTTCCTTCCTTCCTTTCCTTCCTTCCTTCCCTCCTTTATTTTTCTCTCCCTCTCTTTCTTTCTTTCTTTCTCTCTTCCTCTTTCATTCATTTACTCATTCCAAGTAGATCAAAGTGTAATTTTGACTATGTAGAGAGGCCTGGAGCAACTGACTGTGTATGAGGATCCTTGCGTGGAGTGGTATCCCTTGGACTATATGAGAAGTCTTGACATCCACTGTGGCTTTCCTGAAATGTTCCGGAGTTGCCCAGCAGCTTTCACTTGAAGTACCCAAAAATTTGAGAAGAAATTCCCCTTTTCTCCCTGCTGACCTGTTGAAAACACTGTCCTGCCCTCAGGACGCTGTGGAGATAACCCGAATTTCCTGATTTTTTCCTTGGATCATCCTCACAGCCTCCTCTGGACTCGCCCCAGTAGGTCTATGTTCTTCTGATGTTGGGGGCCCCAGAACTGGAGGCAGCACTGCAGGTGGGGTCTCAGGAGAGCGGAGCAGAGGAGCAGAACCCCCTCCCTTGACCTGATGGCCACGCTGCTCTGGATGCAGCCCAGGACATGGTTATTGGCCTCTGGGCTGTGAGTGCACGTTGCCGGCTCATGTTGAGCTTCTCACTCACCAGCACTCACCCCCAAGTCCTTCTCCTCAGGGCTGCTCATGATCTGTTCTCCACCCAGCCTGTATTTGTGCCTGGGGTTGCCCCAACCCAGATGCAGGACCTTGCATTTGGCCTTGTTGAACTTCATGAGGTTCACACAGGCTCACCTCTCAAGCCTGTCAAGGTCCCTCTGGATGGCATCCCGTCCCTCCAGTGTGTCAACCCAACTACACAACTTGGTGTCATTGGCAAACTCGCTGAGGGTGCACTCAATCTCACTGTCCATGTCACCGACAAAGATGTTAAACAGCGTCAGTCTCAACACTGACCCCTGAGCAATGCGACTCTTCACTGCTCTCCACTTGGACATTGAACCATTGTCTGCAACTCTTTGAGTGCGACCATCCAGTCAGTTCCTTATCCACTGAGTATGGATAAGTTAAAGGGTAGTTCAACATACCAACCACGGAACTGCTCACTGGCCTTGGGACAACCTTCCCTCTCTGGACAATGTCTTGCCATTGTCTCCCCATTTTCCTTGCAGAAGAGGAATGTGTTGGAGGGCAGAGAGGTGAGTCCTAACCTGGGAGACCCTAGAGCCTATCTCAGGGGGAAAAGGGTGGAGGGATGGGACAGAGAGGAGAGGCACAGCCTAGGAGAAAAAGGTGTCCCAAGGAGAAAGGGTGCAAAGTGCAGCAGGAAGTGCTGGAGTGTGTCCAAAGAAGAGCAAGGAAGTTGGTGAAGGGTCTGGAGCACAAGTGTGATGAGTTCACAGCTGAGGGGATTGGGGTTGTTTAGTCTGGAGAAAAGGAGGTTGAGGGGAGACCTTCTGGCTCTCTACAACTCCCTGAAAGAAGGATGTAGCAAGATGGGTGTTGGTCTCTTCTCCCAAGTATCAAGCGATAGGACAAGAGGAAATAGCCTCAAGTTGTGCCAGGGGAGGTTTAGATTGGACATCAGGAAGAATTTCTTCAACGAAATGGTAGTCAAGCATTGGAACAGGCTGCCCAGGGAGGTGGTGGAGTCACCATCCCTGGAGGTATTTAAAAAACCTGTAGATGTGGTGCTGAGGGATATGGTTTAGAAGTGGACTTGGAAGTGTTTGGTTTATGGTTGGACTTGATGATCTTAAGGGTTTTTTCCAACCTGAATGATTCTATGACATTCATTTCTTGCACACTGAGGTTCAGTACCACCTGCAGCTCCAGGTACAACATCCTCTGTCCAGCAGCCAGCTACCCAAGTTGCTCGTGGCTGGTTTATACCCTGTTCTTAGCTGGCTTCAGTCAGGGACAAATTCTAATGCTGGTCCCAAGGAAAGGTCACATTCAGGCCCTGCATCCTCTCCCAGTAGATCCTGTCGAAGGTCTCACTCTGTGCCACTGTGAAGTGGTTCTCCCAGTCCCCGCAGATACCTGAGGAAGAAGGATTTTGGGCTCAGAGTCCACCTGAACAGGCACAAGGGCAAAGGCTCAGCTCTTGGGTCCAGCTAGACCTGAAGGGGGTTGTCCAAAATGAGAGACCATCCCCGTCCCTGGAATCATTCAAGGTCAGGTTGGATGGGGCTCTGAGCAACCTGATCTAGTTGAAGATGTTCCTGCTCACTGCAGGAGGGCTGGACAAGATGATTTTTAAAGGTCCCTTCCAACCCAAACCATTCTATGATTTTTATTTGGTTCTTCAGACCCAAATGCACCATGATGTGGCTCTTCAAGACACCCTCACTCTGGTTGTCCTCATGGGGGAGGACACCTGACAGAGGGGATCTCCTGGAGGTGTTGTGATGGGGTCTCTCCTGCTCACCCTTCCTCAGGAACTGGCCTTTCGTCTGGTCCATGATGTCTGTGGGGAGCAGGATGGAGTTGCACATTGGGTTCTCCCGCATGGACATGAAGGAGGCATTTTGCACCACTGAGGAGATGGCATCATCATCTAAATCCTGCCCCAGGAACCGGCAGAGACGTCTCACGCTGCTATGCAGGTCCTGAAGGGACAGAGAGCCTGTTATTGCCAACTGGCTTGTGACACATCAGCATCTTTGAAGCTGGAGGGCCTGCTGAGGTGTCTACCTGCTTCAGCTCTTCGTAGGTGATGAAGAAGAAATTCTCTTTGTCCTTCATCTCCATCCAGCCTCGGACATGTTCAAACCAGGAACCATGGGGCACTGATGGGAGGCAAAAGGCAGTAGGTCAGGGCAGGACAGGAGATGTGAAAGGCTGAGGAAGGTTCACAAAAGGTTGGGAGCAGGGCAGCCACGAGGCAGGACAGGGCAATGGTGTCCAGGGAGCAGGTGGGACTGGGAAGTTCAACTGCAGTTGCAACCGAACAACGGGTTCTTCTCCAGCCACTTCCATGGTGGGAAGAAGTTGAGGCTAGAGGTGTGCAAGGCTCATGGGTAAGGTCCTGCCAGGGCTTTGTAGGGATTGTTGGCCAAGACATCCTGAAGACATCTGAAGTCAGGGGAATCCAGTTCCCATCTGTTTCAAAGCACAAGAGGGCTTTGTGGGCCTGCATGTCTCCCCAGAAGTGCTTTGCTTTCCTCCTGAGCCATTCACCTCTCTCCTGTGGGAAACTTGGCTTCACAGCCATCATCAGTGGACAGCAGCAAAAGACCCTTGAGCCAGAGGTGATGGGAGACACCACCCACCCACCCCCGTGCCCTGAGTAAGTCCCTCAGGAACTGCTCACGTTCTCCATTCAGAAAGTCCCTCAGGAACTGCTCGAAGGATGTGGGATCCTCATAGCTGTTGCACATCTTGGAGAAGTAGTAGGAGGAGACGACAACATCTCGAGGATCCCGTAGGGTGTAAATAACCTGGGGTAGAGGAGTGAGAAGCTCCCAGTAGGGGAAGGGGAGTTGCAGACCCTGGCACTGAGGTAGATCTGAAAACGGAGGGGTCTGCCACCTCTGTCACGCAGACCTTGAGGAGAGGTCTCCATGAACACACAAGTCCCCTAGAGCCATTGAAGACTCTCCAAAATATCCAAGGAAGGAATGTGAGATGGGGACCTGCATGTTTCCATCTGGAGGGCATGGAGGACACTTGTCACTCTCCTAGGCCAACACCAAGGTCCTCACCCAACACTCCTCACTCCAAGATTCCCCAGATCCTGGGCTATGGTCTTCCCAGCTCCCCTGTCCCCCTTCAAGCTCTGCATGGCTGCCCATCATCCCACCTTGGCACTGGAAGAGGAGAAGGACTTGGGGAAGATGTGCCTGGGGAGGTGGCAGGTCAGCAGGCGAGGTGGGAGGTAGCTGAGGGCTGACTCCAGACCCAGTCGGGTTGAGAACCAGGGGACACGGTCAGAATTGAGGACAGTTCGGTTCCAGCCGGGACAGCCACGGCTGCGAATGAGGCTCAGGATCTCGGTCATCCACACGGTGCCTGCCAGGGAAAGCAGAGATGCAGGACAGGGGACCTTGCCTGGGGGGTTGGGATGGGAGGACTTCACTCTGTCATGGCTCCATGGTCAGCAGCACCCTCAGCACTGAGTCTTGTGGCTCCTCAAGAAATGGTGCTGCCCTGCCCATGGGCAACCACTATGGTAAATCCCCCCCAAAAACATTCCTGTTCCCCACCACAAGAGAAGATTCACCTTCTGAACAACATCTGGACATGTTTCCAAAGCCCTCACCCCTCTCCTGCCCCTCTCCAGCCCCTTAATCCACCCTTCGTACCAGACTTGGGGTAGGTGACGTTGAAGATGTCATCGTCCCGCACCTGGAACTCATTGTGGGTGAAACTCAAGCTGTGCTCTGAGTTGTAGGCCGAGGGGAACTTGATGCCTTCATACATCACGTAGTGGACCTGCATCATGCCAGGGTGGGGATGTGGGTGGGGTGATGCAGCTCTGTGCCACTACAATGAGGAAGGAGAGAGATGGGGTAAGGGTGATGACTCCAAGCCAAGAAACTCCTCCCCTCCATAGCAGGTCCCAAACAGGAGCCCAACCATCCCGTATCACCAACATCAGAAGATGTTGGGGTTATGGGATGTGTATTACCCACCTAGATACTCTCAGGTCCTTCTTCATGGGGGTCCCACCTCAACAGCAGGTTGTGTGGATAGGGAGCTGTTGGCTCGTAGGGCATTTAAGGAGCTCTAAGGCTCTTCCCCCTGCAGCCCATGGAGGTCCATGGTGGAGCAGATGTCCACCTGTAGCCTGTGGAAGATCCCACACCAGAGTGGGTGGATGCCTGAAGGAGGTTGTGACCCCATGGGAAGCCCACGGGGGAGCAGGTTCCTGTCAGGACCTGTGGACCCGTGGAGAGAGGAGCCCACGCTGGAGGAGGTTTGCTGGCAGGACTTGTGACCCCGTGGGTGGGATGCACCCTGGAGCAGTCTGTCCCTATATTTTCTCACCCATGTCCAGTTGAGGAGGGGGAGTGATAGAGCAGCTTTGGTGGGCACCTGGTGTCCACCCAAGGTCAACCCACCACATATCTCCTTCCCCTTGCTGCCCCCCCATCTTTACCTGTCCTCACAGCTTGGAGAGGTGTCAAGCAGCCATTGTTGTAGGATCTTTGGCTGTAGAACCACCTTGTCTTGGACCCAAAACCTCCCTTTATTTGGTTCCAGGAGCTCCAGGTCCTCAGAGGTTCCAGGAACTGGAAGGAGAAAAAAAAAGGGGGAGGGGGGGAGGGAAAGTTTTCTGCCCGCGTGGCACCGTTCTGGAGTGATGATTAACGAGATCCAAAGTCCAACGGGCATCGCTGTCCCGTGGTGGGGTGGGTGGGCTGGGGTGTGAGGAGCACACCAGTGCAGGTCCTTCTGGGGACAAGGAGGGGTGGGAAGCTGGTGTCCTGTGACTCCAAGAACCCCAGGAACCCCACATTCTTCCCTCTGAATTCTCACCTAACCCTCTCTCTTCTCCTCCAAATAGACTATCAAACGATTTCCCTGAAGATCCTTTCCCAGTAAATTTCCCAGTAAATTTCCCAGTAAATTTAACAAATTTATTAAAATTTGGATTATTAAAATGGTTCATTAAAAACCGAAAGTCCTTCCAGGAAAGGTTGAGATGTTGCTACAGCAACAAGGGATGGAGCAGATCTTCTTTCTCACAAAAATCCCAGAATTGCCTCCATTGGAAAAGGTCTTTCAAGTCCAATCATCAACCCAAGTTCATCAAGTTTCATCGAATCCCACCATGACCCCAACACTGACCAGTCCCCTAT